ACCACCTTGATTTTCATGCCAACCTGCTCCCGGGTGGCTACACTGGCTATCCTGCCCTAGATGGCCACTTTCCTGTGCCTAGTGCGGAGGTCATGGATGAGGTCCACGATCTCCGCACTAGACCAGGCGGGCTCCTGCCTCTTGCGGACGTGGGCAGGCTCCCGGGAGCCGCCAGGCTGGTCCCAGGAAGAGGCGGAGGGCGGGGTGGCAGCGGGTAGCTGGTTCGTGCCGTGTCAGGTGCAGGGTCTGCTGGCTGGGTGCTGGCAGGCTTACACCTGGCACTGGCACAGTAGCCAGCCCGTGCCCCTTTAAGGGCTCCAGGGCCGGGAGGGGGGCAGACGAGTTTCCCTGGTGGTGCCCAGAGTGGCCACCAGGGAAAGCTGGGGAGGGCTAGCCTCCCACTAGTTCGAATTAAGTGGCTATACAGCCCTTAATTCGAACTGCTTAATTCAAACTAGGCGTTACTCCTCGTAGAATGTGGTTTACCTATTTCGAATTAAGCGCTCTGGTAGTTCGAATTAAGTTCGAACTAGCGGTTTGTATGTGTAGCACCTATCAAAGTTAATTCGAACTAACGGCTGTTAGTTCGAATTAACTTTGTAGTGTAGACATACCCTAAGGTATTTTCAAAAGTGCACACACCAACCACTGGCACACATCTCTGTGTATACGTGCAAACCAGGGGCTGCACAAAGAGATGCTGGGCATCTGAAAGTATGCATGTGTGTCTTGAAATCAGGTCCATAATGCCAGGGATTGCTTAGCCAATTGCTTAGGGGTTGGTTAGCATATCTGAGGCAAATCAAGCTCAGAAAGAACTCAACCAAGAAGGTGAGCTTTTGGACTTTTACTTACATTTAATTCTTCAAGTGCTAAGTTGGAGAAGACAAAATAAAGAAGGCATCTTGGGTTGAGCCACAAACCACCTTACTTTCAGGGTTTTTCTTCCTTTTTGCTGGAGTGCTGTTTGATCTTTTCTTGACTCTTATTAAGTGAAGAACAAAATCAGCAATTTATCACATTTAGTTCTGGATGCTTGGTAGTTATTTTTTTCTGTGCTGTAGAAGTTACTGGCCTCCTGTGAAAAGACAAAAGAAAAATCAATACTTATGTTGAAAAAGAAGCTTGTGTATTTAACTTCACAAACAAAGTTCTTGCTTAAGCTCCAGGAACAGAAACAGTAATAGAAAAGATATGACTGCCTAGACTTAATTACTGAAGTACACACAAAAGCAATATTGCCTTGCCAAGTGCTGGAAGACAGAGAAAAAAATATGGTTTTCATTTATTTCAGAAAAGAATATTTCTAAGGAAAATAAAAATGGACTGATAATGTTTTTACATGAGCATTTCAACAATTTTTATACTTTTCCAAGAAGAAAAATAGGTACCTTTCATGTAACACTGATGTCTGTCTACAGTGATTTGTGGATCCAGTGGAAAATTTAAAAAGAAAAATAAAGTCCACATAATTAAAGTGTAAAGGTGGGGGAAAAGGTGTGATTTTCTGTCACTTGTTGGCAAGAAATGATTGCATCACCTGTGTAATCTTGTTGTTTCTCTTGTTTGAATATTTCAGGGTGTTCAGCGGGACATTCTGAAGATGAAGAAACTTAAGATAATTTATGTTCTTAGCAGGAAAAAAAGTGAAATCTTATGGTTTATATTTTTTTCTTGAATGCTGAAAACCAACTCTGTAATAGATGTCAAATAAACATTTTCTCTGGCTGCTACCCAAATAAGATACTGATGAAAAAAAGTCTAGTTACCAAGCTGTCTTGTGAGTCATACTAGATTGGCCAGGCCTTGCATGATAATCAAGTGTAGGATTCTCCACAATATTAATATACATAAAATTGCATTTCCTACAGAATTGCTCTCTAATTTCATATTAATAAGAAGAACTTGTCACACATTCACTCATCCAACAGGGTGAGAGGCCAAAATTATCTATAGATTTATTCTGGTTAACAACCAGTGCATGTCATTTATCTAATAAAACCCATCTATTAAGACTAAGATTAGTAATGTATATTGCTAAACTTCTCTGGGATTACTGTTCTATTGGTACTTGAACATTGGTAAGCTGCCTGCGAAGGACAGATGCCAGGAAAATTAGATTTTCACATAAAAATAGGGGAGGGGAATAAGACACTATGGCTGCGTCTAGACTGGCATGATTTTGCGGAAATACTTTTAACGGAAAAGTTTTTCTGTTAAAAGTATTTCCACAAAAGCGTGTCTAGATTGGCACGGATGCTTTTGCGCAAAAAGTGCTTTTTTTTCTAGATCTTGCCAGTCTAGATGCACCCTGCCAGTGAAAGGGTAAGCACCTACACTGAATTATGAAATGTGTATTCATAGGGGTGGGGAATGACAATTGTTGACAGTGCTATTTGTTGCACCTTTTATTGCTTGACCTTTATCTAACTCTGGGCAATCTCTATAAACCTCTATAGATCTTGGAGGTTTAAACAAGACAACTTAACATAAGGGAGTCCTTTGAGAACTGGATCAGCCATCAGTTAGGACACAGAACAATAGGAAATGTAGGACTGGAAGAAACCTCAATATGTTATCTATTCCAATCCCCTGTACTCAAGATAGGACCATATAAAAATTAGACCATTCCAATTCCTGTCCTTAAAAATCTTCAATGGCTGCGCTTCCATAACTTTCCAAGGAAATTTGTTCCAGTACTTAATTACTTTGACTACCTAATGTCCAAACTAAACCTGTTGCTGCAATTTAAGAGCATTACTTCTTGCCCAATTCTCAGAGGTTAAAGAGAACAATTTGTCATCTTCCTCCTTTTTTGTACTTAACTGTTATCATGTCCTCCTTCAGTCTTCTCTTCTGAAGACCAAACAAACCCAATTATTTCAGACTTCTCTTTCTAGTTATGTTTTCTAGATCTTTTAATCATTTTTGTTGCTCTTCTCTGGACCTTCTCTGATATGTTCACATCTTTCCTGAAATGTGTAGCCTAGGACTGAACATGATACTGAAAACTTTAGGGCAGTGGTCCCCAACCTTTAGAGGCTCCCAGGCGCCCGGGGGTGGGGCCACTCACGCGCCGGGCGCCCGGGGACAGGGCCACGCATCCGGGAGCACGCCAGGGGACTGGGATGCCCTTGCACCCGGCGTCGGCATGTGCCCTAGGGCTGGGGCCGAGGCTGCCCCAAGCGCCTTGTGCCCGGGGCCAGC